CTTTCGCCCGTATGAGTTCGAATGTGTCTTTCCAAATTACTTTTATAAGAAAACTTTTTCACGCACTTCGGGCATTGATGTTTTCGGTTCTTTTAAAACAATTCGTTTAATAACAATATATAATTCGTGAAAAAGTTAAATTAAAATTATTTACGATAGTATTAATTATTGTTATATATTATAATGATATGTTGAAAATGTTAATAATATTTACACTATCTTCGATATAAGATTAAAATTGATAGTTTGTTATTTCGTGAATTTTTAATAAAACCGTTTGAGAAATTCAAAATGAATTATACATATGAAATGAAAGATTTCACTTACCATTTATGATTTTACTTAATTTAATTATGAAATTTAGCTTCTTAATTTCAAGTCGGAATTTTGTTAAAACGGAAAACAACAATGCACCGAAATAATGTAATTTCTTGATTGTTATGTTTTGATTATATTAAGCTTGCACAATTGCACATGTCCTTTAACCTAAAAATAATTGAAGACACAAAACGATATATATATATATCCTCAATTTTACAAAATTTATTTAAGAACTCCATTGCTGGTAAAAGAGATAAATTTATTGAAATTAATTCAACAATGACCAGAAAACATTTCGAATGTGCGATAATTTCACTTATAAAATTTTTAAAAATATTTGTATTTAAGTATGAAAATTTTAAGAAAATTAAATTTTAAAATTAATAAAAAATTTTAATTTTGCTATTAAGATATTTTTTTCTTACAGGAGTCGGAAAAAAGAGAGAATGAAGAATTAGAAGCGGCCAACACACTGCTATTATTAAGAGAAGAAGGATCGAAGAAAAGAACATTGGAAATGTTAGAGGCTGACAATCAGCCTTTTCATACAGATGAACCTTCCTCCGAACAATAATTGATAAATAAATGAGGAAAACACAAACTTATAAAAAGTTTCGTCAGGAAAATTTAAATTACAGTTTTTATTTTGGCTGCATTATCGAAATATTTGACTTTAATATATATGATTAAATTATTTGGAACCCTCTGATGAAATTTCTAATTAATAAACAGCATTTATTCAATCAAATATTAATTTGATTTTTAATGGAAATCTGCTTAGACTTAATTATTAATTATTAAAAGTATACAATAATTTTTCACACAATATGTCAAATAAATATCCAGTTTTTCAAAAAAAACCTCGCGGGAGATCAGCTTTTAAACTGATTGCCTACGAATTTTATTTTAGTTTCCGTTTTATATAAATATTTAAGAGTTTGATTGGTGTCTTCTGAATTGTAACTAATGCTATAGGAAATAGAAAATTTTAGAGTATTTATATTTAAATAATTCAAAAATGTCCTATACGAATAAATCGAATTTTTGTTGTATTTAAATAAAAACTATCAATTATACAGTATATAAAAACACTGATTATAATTACATTTAATACTCAACAAACAACGCTTATCAATTATATGCTCTGGAAGGATGATATTACCAAATCCATCACTCTCAGCCTCATAAATTCCTAAATGAATATCTAACAATATAATTTCCTTAATTATCCACCCTGATCCGTTTTTTATAAACTGAAATGAAGTTTAAAACTGTATTAAAAGCATTTGTTAACCTTTAATCGATCGTATACTGAGATAAAATATGTTCTACTCGACTGGAGAAAAACATATCCTGAAACGTAATAATTTCATTTTCTGAATATTTTATAAATTTTATCTTTAAATTTAATAAAAATTTCATCCTCGAAATTAAATCATCATTAGTCAAAATTTTATAAATAGTATGTCTAATATTTTCAAGTAAAATACTTGGATCTGTATAATGAGAGATAAATGTTCAATAACTTGTCAATAAATGCCATTTGGCGGAGCAGGGACAATCTAGAGTTGTGTGTATGAGGGAGTTGAAAGTGCTTTTGCATCAATAATAGTTTCATCGAAGGAAGAATCCGATCGAAGATTCTTATAAAATATTTTGCAGTTTTGTAAAAGATCAAGTGCAAAAGCTAAATCAAAATCTTTTGTTTGCATCAACTCGCTTTATCGGATTAATGGAATTTAGTATTTTATGCCAAATAACTAATGAACACAAAAAGTTAAATCGTTTAATACATTTTATTAAACCCGAGGGCCTCGTCTCTTATTAAATTATCGATTTCTTAATTTTCGTAAATGCTTAGCAGGGCGTTGTATACGTCTCCCAAATGAAATCTCAAAGGCTTTAAGGTCTCTATCTCACTCTCCTATCTAGTGTCACTAAACGGTTTCAAAGTTAAACCTTGAACATGGTATATGATAACACCATTAAACAATTATACCATACTATAAAAAGTATCATACAATCAATAATTTTTTACAGAAAAAATTAAAATCTTATGATGAAACCATTACAAAATTATACGATACTATAAAACCATTATACAATAATTTCATGTAATTATACGATGAAAAACATTTTAATAAAATTTGGTATACTCCTCCAAATGCTGTCCTATCCCGTTGAATGCTTGTTTATACTTGTTAAAATCTTTTACGTTGATGTTATATTTGTTAGGTGGGTATGATCCCTTGGTTTTTGTGAGAGAGACATAGAAATTCAACTGAAATTCTTGTATCTGAATTTTCTTGATTTTACTAAACTTTAAAGTCAGGAATTTTTATCTGCTTGCTTTTCTAGATGGTTAGATCCAAATCAAATCTTGTTTTTTTGTTTTCACCAGTCTCACCAGATTTGGATTTGGGACCTCTTTTGTTATTGCCTTTTTTCTCAAAATCAAAATCAAATTTTACAATTAGTTTATAAAAAAAATTATAGTCCAAATTAAGATGTGTATTATCGTTATTATTATCATTGTTATTAAAATAAAAATTATTTAGTACCATCAGAAGACATGATATTTTCAGTAGAAGAATCAATGAGCGAAGTTTTCTTTAGTAGAAGTATTGATGATTGAACTTTTGGGGGGAAATTGCTCATTTTTTATTGTCAGTGACCTACAATTGTATTAGAGGTGATGGTTGAAACTAAATTAGAGCACATCCGTCTTCAAAGGTGATACTTCTTAATCAGTATGAGGAAATGCATGTGTGTTTTTCTGGGTCATTAATTTTAAAACAAACTACAAATCTATCTATGCTAAGCCTACTATCACAATCTTTGAACTGATTGTTAGATATTGACAAAAAAGATTTCTAATAATTTTTCCTCTTTCTATCAGATCTATTGTTATGTGAACTGAGGGGGTTAGAGCGGTGAGCTTTTTTCCACTTATCGGCTTTGTTGTCAGGGATGACATTGTTAAATGAGTGGGAGGGGTAGTGAAGTTGTGACGAGGTGTCGATTGTACTCAAAGATGAGACAATAAAATTAAGAATAACATATTTAATATATAACAAATGAAACAAATACATAGAAATATATTCTAAATTTTTAAAGAAGACGAAAGTATAATGATGATAACATTTCTGCATTGTGACAATAATAGACAGCCGATGTCCATCTTTTCCGTACCCTTGATGTGGGTTCCTGTCCCTGGTGACGGGACCTCCCAGAGATGGTTTACTAATTCTTCTTTACCATCTGGGAGTGTATGTATGTTAGAGTTTTTAGAGCATTGATTGCAGCTGTTAGTTTTTCGATGTCTGCTTTCATCTGTTTTATTTTCGCTTGGTGGGGTTCATCTCTATTACTATTGGCACTATTAACTTTGCATTCTTGAGGCTCTTCCTCAATCCTTGAAGAATTAATCTCACTTCGTTTCGAATATCTATCTGTTTGTTTCACTATTCTTTTAGCTAACTCAACAGCCTCTTCTAATGTTTGAGGGTCAGTGCGGATGACTTCTTTTTGAATGTGGGGCATTAATCCCTGCAAAAACTGATTCTTTAACATATTTTCCTTTATAACTTTATACAGAGGGGAACTTTTTTCCAGGGTCTCCATTGCAGATTTCAGTCTAAAAGTGTAGCTTTTGATTGGTTCTCCCTTTCTCTGTTCTATACGAATGAAGCTCTCTAGGGCGGCATTTGTATTGCTTATTTGTGGGGAGAAGCATTCGATGAGGTCTTCCTTGATTTTTTCAAAGTCCGATCCATGAAAGGATTCACTTTCGAATAGGTAGGTGAGCGGTCTACTCTTTAGTCTGGCTCTTAATATTACAAGTTTTGTTATTTGATCCCATTTCGCTAAACTAGCAACTTGCTCAAAACAATTAAAGAATTGAGCGATGCTGATTGATTTCCTTTTGGCCCGAAAAGAAGGGAATCTTTCCCAAAACTCCAGAGACAATTGGGGCCTCTTGATGGCTGCTGGAAGGCTGTTCACTAGATGTCCTTTGTTCCTCCATATTGGAATTACAATTATGTTAGAATTACAACAATTATGCTACACGTTACACTTTGTTTTTTTTTTTTATATTATAATTACGGATAACTATTTACGCTCGTACAGCAGTACATAGAAAGGTATACACGTATCCTGTCGCGGATGCCAATTATGTGGTGTGACAGGTTAACGAAAAACCATATTATACAAGAATACACCACGTGTTAACACAAATTTTAACAAGAAATAGAGGAAATTATTTATTTACAGTTTATCACCAAATTAATTTTAATACATTAACTTGAACCCGTATATAATACTAAACCGTTCCTGTTGTTCTCTCACGTGGACAAAGCTTATATATCTGGTTACACGTGTGGATCCCGAAGCCGACCAGTGCACAATTCGTTGTGACCATATTATACTAATACTTATGACTAACTTAATTTAACTTATAAACTAATATAATCTAGGTAGAGGAAAAAAGTATAGAAATGTTAGGTTAGAAAGAAATCCCCGTTATCTGTACAAAAAAATTGGGCAACCTCCCAACGTACACTCCCTGACCACATGGATTCGCTCTGTCATCTTCCTCACGTGGTTCTCCCCTCGCTTTCTTCTCTCCGAATGAAAAAAGAAAGTCCCGTCCTCCTACGCTGCCTTGTCGGTTGTTTCCCCTTTTCGGCCCAAAACTAGCCAGAAAGTGCAAAAAGGTCAAAAGAAGAAAAATAGTGTGGGTTATTTTAAGTAAAGAGGAAATTATAGATAACATAAGATATTATCGACTAAAACCATACATATACATGGTGGGATACACCACAGTGTCCTAGCACTTTGGCGTAAGCTTCACAACCAAATACTTCTATGTTTGACATATCTGGCCTTCTTTTATACCATTTTTCAGCATGTGTTACTTCTACTGTGTCAGAATGACAATGATTAAGAAGAGAAGCTGAGCTTCTAACAGCCTCTCCCCAAAGCTTCTCTTCAGCCCTTGATTCATACAGTAGTGCTCTGGCTTTCTCCATAATTGTACGATTAAGCTTTTTAGATTTTCCATTCAGTTGAGGTGTATGGGAATGCTATAATCAAGAACAATTCCTTTGTTATTACATCAATGCTTAAACTCATTACTTGAGTATTCTCCTCCATTGTCACATCTCAATTTTAGAACTTTTAGATTTTGAAGAGCTGCTTCTAGTACAAATTCTTTAATGTATTCAGAGGCTTCAAATTTGTTTTTCAGTAGATATACTACTGCATAATCAGTGTAGTCATCCATAATAGTTAAGAAGTATTTTTCTCATCCCATGTTTTAGGTTCTACAGGGCCACACACATCAGTATGTAGGATCTGCAGAGCACGTTCTGATCTTTGTCTTTCCTTATTGAAAGGTAGTTGTGTTTGTTTAGCTTTGATACATGTTTGGCATGTATGATCTAGTTTCTCACAATCTTTCCATGATATGTTCATTCCATCAACTAGGTTAATTGTTTTCTTTAAGCTGCTAATTCCGGGACGACCCAGTCTTGCATGCCAAAGTTGAGCTTCAGTTTTTTTTTTTTTGTTACACTTCTGTTATTGATTGTATTAAACTTGCTTTGGACTATCATAGAGCTATCCTTACTTGTTGTTTCCAGAGCAACTGTATAAAGTCCATTTTCTTGTTTTATACCCTCACAGATAATATCATCTCCTCTTGTGATGATAACTTTATCTTTGGTAAATGTGACTTTGCTATCATTTTCAGTGACAGCATTAACTGACAACAAGTTTGTACATAAATCAGGCACATATAATGTCTTTTCAAGTATAAAATCTTCACCTTCAATTCCTCCTACTCCATATGTCTTCATTGATTCAGAGTCCTTTGCTACCATCACACTCTTTGTATTTTTGAAAAAACTTTTTAACAGACAAAATGTCATTTGTCGTATGTGCTGTACATCCTGAATCAACCACGAATTCTGTATCTCTTAAGATTTTATTTGACTGTGCTAAGAAGGACACTTTCTGTAAATTTTCGTCCGATGGAGATAATTATGATTAATTCTTTTGAAGACAAAGTGCTTTCCAAAAAATAGGAACCACCATTTATTAACTTTGTGTTCCAGACATTACACTTTTGGCGCTGGTAAAATGTAGATAAGGAAAACTGGCCCATAGTGACGATACCTGGTATCGTCACCAGATACAGTTTTCCTCATCTACATTTTACCAGCTCTTATTTTGTTGTAGATAAAAGCTGAAACAATGCCAGCAAGGTATGATGGAAAATAGAAGACGTCTGAACATCACCAGTTCTTGTTTTTTTTTTAAATATTTATATTTTTAACTGGATATTTTTGTATGTTATAAAGGACTGTTTGGAGGCCAGTAGCCTAAAAGAAAAGGTCAGTCGCCAAAAGTGTAATGTCTGGAACACAAAGTTAATAAATGATGGTTCCTATTTTTTGGAAAGGACTTTGTCTTCAAAAGAATTAATCATAATTAAAGGACACTTTCTCTTTGCTACTTCTTCTGTTGAATGTATTAGGGTCCATATTAGGTCTAAAATAACAGTCCTCTTCAGCATGGTTGTTGTTCTTACACACACCACACCACTTAGTTCTTGCCCTGAAGTAATAGTCTTTGTCAATGTGGTTACCTTTTTTACATATTACATGGACGAGGCAAGGAAGGGCAAACACTCCCTTCCTTGCCTCGTCCTTATAACCGTGTCGCCCCCTCCAACGAACAGGAAGTGAAGGATGGAAAGATCGATAAACGAGAAAACAAAGAACACAAAGAAGAATATTTAATACTAGAATTACGACTAGCGCGTATACTATAATATGGCGTCTCGTCACAGACATTTGTATAGAGAGGTTTCATGTCGACATCACAAGTAACGTCATGAGCATGTGCAATTGTCCAGTGCCATCTTTGTGACTTGTTTACATTTTGTGTGTGTCCACGTGCGCTTTAACTGGAGTTCTTGTATTGTTTCTTTCGTTGCGAATATCACTATGGTTATTTGTTGTGTAATTGGGTGTAATGCTAGTTCACTCAAGAACAAAGGAACCTCATTTTTTAAAATTCCCAGCATTATTTGTCATCAAGGATACCAAACTAAAGAGCTTTCACGACGAAGATAATCTGCATGGCTCTCGAGAATTAACCGGAAAAATTTCAATACGGATAAAGTGAATATCAATACAAGAGTTTGTAGAAACATTTCATTTCAGGTAAGCAATAAATCAAATTACTAGTTATCAATAAATTAAATAAACTTATACATGAGTATCATAGTGTCTGCTTGTAATAAATATACAGTAGAGTTAATATTAAAATGTTAAACAAAGATAATCACTTAGCAGATGAAGAATTAGAAGTGTATTTTAAACCAATTTCCTTCCAGTCTAATTTACATAAATAAATATGTATTTTTTAAGATATAAACCAATAATTTCCATTTTTCATTTACAAATAGTTAAGTTAGTTTATTTTGGTGAGCAACATTAACATTTGTTTAAGATGCTACTTTTTACATTGCATTTTTATATTAGTAACAAATAATTATTACATAGTACATGTAATGTTCAACTTGTTCCTGACAAATTCTTATTATTTATATATAACATACCATAATGATAAGTTATTTTAATATTATGTGAAATTACTAACATTAAACACAGTATATTAATAATAATAAAAATAATTTAATATTAAATTGTCATAATATATTATTTAAAAATTATTTTCATTCCAAAGGAAAACCTTCCTCATTGTATGATGAGTCATCACCAGACTGGGTGCCAACATTATACATGGGGTATGAGAGTGACCACAACTTAACTGCAAATCAGGAGCGTTATGAAAGAGCACGTAATCGCAAGATACAACGAGTGGCCTTAGAAGCTGAAACTCCTAAGGCAGCTGAAGCTTGCACCCAACCTCCTACTGTTAAAGATGCAGAGATCTCAACAACTGCAGAAATGCAAGAAGCAGAGCCTTTAAAATCTAATGCATGGGTACAAACTACATCTTTAGTTGAAACTGTCACTTGTCAGACCGAATTTAAAGCTAAAGATATAGAAAGCTTGCAATTTGAGTGTGCAAACTTGAAAACTGAAGTATTATTATTAAAAAAAACATATGTTCTTAATGAAGATTTTTTTGTGGGTGATGACAGCAAGGTTCATTTTTTAGTGGACTGAGCAATTTTAAATTGCTATCATTGATACTGAACCTTTGTCGTAAACAGATTGATCATCCAAATTCCAGAAAATTAACTCCTTTTCAAGAGATGATAGTATGTTTGATGAGACTTCGCTTAAATTTAAGTCTGGAAGATTTGGCTTACAGATTTAATATATCAAAAGCAACAATATGCCAAATCTTTGACAAGTGGCTGCACATTTTATACATCAGGTTAAGCAGATTGATTGTTTGGCCTGAGAGAGATGTGCTGCAAAAAACTATGCCCAAAGAATTTAAAAAAACTATTGGCAATAAGATTGCAGTAATAATAGACTGTTTTGAGCTTTTTATTGAACGACCTTCGTCATTAGATGCTCACTATTTGACATGGTCCCAGTATAAGCACCATAACACAGTAAAGTTTTTAATAGGTGTTACTCCTCAAGGATCTGTGTCTTTTATATCAGAACCTTGGGGAGGAAGGGTTAGTGACAAACACCTAACCGAACATTCTGGATTGCTTAAATATTTACTGCCTGGGGATTTAGTGCTAGCAGACAGAGGTTTTAACATTATAGATAGTATTGGAATTACTGGAGCACAGCTATCAGTTCCTGCATTTACCAGTAAACAACAACTTTCTGCATTGGAAGTAGCAGAAAGATGTCTCATTTGAGAATCCATGTGGAGCGAGTAATCAGTCGCATTAAAAATAATTTTAAAATTCTAGAGTCAACATTGCCAATTGAGCATGTGACACTAAAGGGACATGACAATGTAACATCAATAGAAAAGATTGTACATGTTAGTTGTGCTTTAATAAATTTATGTAATAGTGTTGTGCCGTTTGAATAAAATCAAGTCTACACTGTGTAATGTTTTAATAAATCTTTATGTACAATTTCAATCTATTGTTTTGAATACCAATGTGCTGTCAGTTCTGATAGTATACATAATTTGAAAAAATTTCTTGCTTTTTCAATGATGCTATTCCACAATGTAAAGTCTCTATAAATCCTCTCAATGTGCAAACTTTTTTCTGTCCAAACTACAAAGTCACAATATTCAACATTACATACAAATATTTGTGTTTGCATTTGGTAGTAATATTTGCTACATTTGTTAATTGTGTAAATACCGTTCTCCTTAACTAAATAATTGGGCGTATTTTCATCAATATTTTGTTCTCGCTGACACCAAGGACATTTCACTTCAACCATTCCTTGGCCACAACAGTTGCAGTCTACAAGACCATCAGGTGAGGCACCAATGAATGGATGAGATGGTAACACATGAAACCCTGTTTCTTTAATAATGAAATTACGATGAAGTTTAGCTTGTTTTTCTTCATATTTTGATCGTGCATGGTTTTCGTGATCACATCCCCATTTTACCGAGGGACTTTTGAATCGATGTTCAAATGGGTAGCAAATTTTTTTAATCAGTGACTTTGCTGGATTAATTAAATTTGTGTGGCATGCTGCTTTCATATTAGATGCAGTTATGCGTCCAGCTCGATACTGATACCAAACTTTCTGTTTGTATTGCTTTGTTGTCAAGTCACTTATGTTTTTTATCTGGTCTTCTGTAAGTTGCAACTCTTGAAACAGTTTGCAACAGTATTCTTCCAGCTCAGGCCAGTCCAGGTTAGCAAGAGATGGATTAAAAAGATTTCCAAACATCAAAGGAAAAGGTATATCCTCACTTGCAACAAAGCAATCAGAAAATCTAGGTGTAACAGCCAAAATGCAAGCTTGTGGATTACATTTTGTTACATCTGACAAAAATGAATCCAGCTCACTGTCAGTCATAGGTGTTACCTTCATGTTTTTCTTTTTGATTGCACTTTGGTTAGCATTTACATCAGTCATGCGGTTATACTTTGCAACTGATGAACTGAAATCTATTTCCTTTAATGGACGAGGAGCAAGAACTCTTGAATGTGGAGGCAACCACTCATTTACTCTGTCAGTGGATGTTTTTGACTCTCGGATTCTAACACCCACTTCTAAGGCAAACAGTACAGCACCAACATGTGAACATGCTGAAGAGCAACCTGCCATACAATTGCAGTGAGCTGTTATGACTTCTCCAGATTTGCCAAGAATCCACACTTTTAAAGGTGGAATTCTTAAGCTTTGAGAATGACTAACCTGAAAAAATAGACATTATGTTAAAAAAATAAACATTGTCAAGAATTTAAGAAAATTGTGTCAAGTTTTACTAATATGCTAGCATTAGAACATTTATATTAACATTTAATTTTAACATGAATAATATTTACATTAATAAACACTAAGTTATATTTTAAAACATAGAAGAGTTTATTGATTTGCTTATATTAATTTAGTTAGGTATAGTGCATTTATAAATGTACTACTAATGTAATTTCAAGCTTTAGCTAGTGCAAACTTATAAACATTACACGTTAAAACTAAAAGTAAGTAGGCTTATTATATGGTAATTTCAACTAGAAAATACAGGTACTGAACAATTTGAATTTAAAAAATTGCCACAGCTGTTTTTCATAAGACTTTTTTACTTTCAGACAAAAATTCTTAGTTAAGAAATACGTAAAAACACGAGTTTAAACAAACAAAAGAAAACATACCTTTGCAAGCAGTATTACTTTGCTATTATTCATTACTTTCACCTTTATATCAGGAGAATCTCAGCCACTTGTTAAATAGTTATGGGCCTCTAAAGATTTGTAAGCTTTCATTTGTGACAGGGTGTAGAAATTTGTTGTCAAAACCAAATAGTTTATGATGTCACCAAATTTTACTTTCGGCCACAACTCTTCATCTACAACGAAGTCTGATAAACTGGCTTCGTATGGATCGCCTTGACATAACGAAATTTTCTCTTTGTATAGAGCTGCATCTCGTCCTGTTAGACTACCAGAATAACCCGCAAGAAAAGAATCATTTTAGCTTTATCCATGATAATAAAACTGCAGTATTTTTGTACGTTTAAATTAAACAAATGCGTCAAACAACAGAACAAGTGCAAGCTAAGCATGCGAAAGCTACCACAAAAATGGCGAAGGGGCGGAGCAAATGTGTGTTTCATCACGTTACATGCAACCTTGAAACCTCTCTATAGGAAATTAACTCATATTAAGGCAAAATATTCACTGCAGTACCTTAGAAGATCATTCTGCAAGTTATTGTGAACCGCGGGGAGGTTGGAGGTCTCCCTTTCCGGCGACAGGTCGTTAAACCTGCTCACTGTCAAGATGGCTTAAATGTTTCTTTTTCCCTATCCCGCGGTAATGGGATTTAATTGTTCGGATCGAGTGGAGGAGGGAGGAGTGCCGTCGGTAAGGTGACAGGCGATATACGAGTAAAAGATTACACCAATTTAACAAGGAAACAACGATTTATTAGTTATCTACATAGACGGTACAATAACTATTATCGAGGGAAATTTCTGAGTCCCTAAAACGCGAAGGGCCGAGAGAGAGAGTTCACAAAAATTTGTTCCATACCTCTTTAGGTTGATAGGTCTCTTGAGGAAATTATATTTTTCTCTTTGAGGAAAATAATAGACGTAGGACACAGTATTAAAGTGACGGCGGATGAACGACTCCTTTGAGAGGGGGAAGCAAGTGGCTTTTATAGTTTTGTCGTGGGAGAATGGTCATGTGACCAATTGTTGTGAGGTAAAAGGTATGCGGATGGGTCAAAGTTGTCCCTGGGCCCATGCTAACTATCAACTTTGGAGTTGGAATGTGGGATTATTTTCAAAATGGACGGATGTTTACTTTGAACGAAAGGGGAGATTAGAAATTTTCCCTTTTTTAAGTTAGGTTTTAGAGGAGAATTTAATTGGGGGTTTTAGGAAAATGCGGGATATTAATTGGAAAATTTGGCAAAAATTCCGGATTTCACATTATCAAAACTACATGGAGACAACTATAAACATTAATGGTGCATACAAAAGGATTTATATTAAACAGAAAACTGACTGGATTTAATAGTCCAATATCAATATTACATTAAATGTAAGAACGCCGATTAGAGGAGAATTTTATTCCGTACCGTCGGGATGGTCTAAGGTCTATGCGTATGTGGGTGGCGGTTTTATGAGGCAGCAGAAGACAAATGTTTTACAGAGGCAAACCATTTATTCTTGATTGAAATTTCTTACATATTTTTACAAAATGGTCCTTCGATCCAAAACTTAAAGATGTCTTTGGTCCTATCGATTGGATAACATGTTTTTCTTTGGTAAAGCTGAAGAGGAGCCCCGGGGCGATGGCGTGATAAAGTTTGGAGGCAAACAGTCACAAGATAGTGGGGATTGGAAGCACCAAGGGAAGTGGACGACGAACACAACAGGTGTCTAGCGAAAGTTTTAGTAGCAGCCCCGTTGTCCTTGGATTTGGTGTTTTTATACGTTTTTTGAGATCAGCTTTTTGCTAATTGGACAGACCTTACATCATCGTTTCTAATTGGTCTCCCACCTGTCTCCAGGTTTTGTAAGAATGCCGATTGGGGGGAAAATTTATTATTTCCCTACCATCGGGATGGTCTAAGGTCTACGCGTATGTGGGTGGCAGTTTTTTAAAGGCAGCAAAGACAGTGTTAAGAAAGGGGAAACGAGGCCGAACTCAGAGGTATAGCCCGTTATAGGTGTAGAAGTTGAAGAAGGAGTAAAGTAGCCAAGAAGGGGTTAGAGAGAAGGGGAAGTAAAGTAAGAAAGGATAGAAGAAATAGAGTCAACCAGGGTCATGGGACCCATGGGCGTCTTGCATCGGCATTTATTAAAAGAAAATACAATGGGTTACATAGAAAACAAATACAAATAATACAAACAAATACATGATGATTATGACATGAGTAGAGACGTTACAAATTAATACAGAAGTATATAATAATACAGTTGATAAAAGCTGTGACATAATTACAAAAGCGTACAGAGGATGCTGAAAGACAAATGTCTGAAATAATCGCGTATACAGGGGAACAGCTTGGGAGCGTCGATGATCCAAAAGGCAAATATAGTATATACATAATATTGTTGAAACATGGGATACCGAAATAAACAATGATTTACATGAAGATTATAACATAAAGTGTGACATTACAGTGACACTACAGTTAAATAAAATTAGGCAGGACGTAGAAATAGTAGATGCTGTTCGACAAATGTTTGTGAGATGGCCGATAACAGTGCGAATTATACATAGGGTTACATGAGATACCAACAAATACAAATAACAATATGTAGGTTAAGACATGAATAGCGATAACAATAAAATACCTAGATATAGAGTAAACAAATACAATAAGCGTGGCGAAATTACAGTTGGAAACAGAAGATGCTGTTTGACAAATGTCATGGATAACTGCGAGATACAGTGGAAAACAGCATGCAGCGTTGTAGAACTATATAGTAGAACACCAGCCTGTCAGTACAGGCACAAGAAAACAGCAGATACATAACGCTGAGTGGCAGAGAATGTGGAACACCAGAGCTAGAGACGGAGAGACAATCTCGATAGTCCAGAGTCCGCTACCAAGAGATTGTTCCCGGTTAATCTAGCTTTTTAATACTAGCAGCAAACTGCTTGAGAGCGTTGAAATTCGTCTTATCCTCGGTGAATGCCTTAAGTTCACAGGGCCAGTGGATGCCGTTGTTGTTGATTACTTGAGCAAGTGTCTTTCTCTGTGTCCTGTAGAAGGGGCACAAGAAAATGATATGATGCGTCTTCGTCTTCATTCATATCACAATTGCAGAGCCCATTTGATTTATGAAGGAACCTCTTTAGGTAAGAGTTCAAGTTCCCGTGCCCCGTCAGTAGCTGCGTGACTTGGAAGGAGGGGAAGAGGGGGTGACTGAGACTATCCGTTGGTGAAGGATAGAATCTGTGGGTCAGCCTACCAGTTGTGCAATTGTCCCACCTTATTTTCCATGTTTTCAAAATTATGTCATGCGTCAGTTTGCGAAGACGTCTATTGCTGATTTTATGGTAGCTGAAGTTGGTGGCCCTGGTAGGGGCAATACGAGCGAGAAGGTCTGCCCTGTCGTTCCCTGCGTTCCCAGAGTGCCCCTTGACCCATTGTATAGCGACCCTGATGTTTATTCTTTGTAGACCCTGTAATTTGTTTATGCTGTCCTTTACGATAGGAAGCATGTTATTGGCATTAATGATTTGCTGGATTGCTGTCCGACTATCACTGAGAATGCAGAAGTTATGGTTGAGCCACTTATGTTGATTATTTACTATCCAGTTGATGGCATTGTAAATGGCGTAGGACTCCGCCTGATTAATGGTACAGTGAGAGGCAAGGTTCCTGCTCCACTGATGGAGACAATGATTTCCTTTGTGAACTACCATGGCGCAGCCCACCCCAAGTTCGGAGTAGGACCCGTCAGTGAAAATGCTAATTGTCCGATTATCACTGTGATAGTTCCCGGAAGGGTCAATGAAGGTTAGGCTAGGATGAATTGGCTGATGCGTGAAGCACTTATCTATACCGTTGGTATTCACTAGATTAGCGAGTGTACAAAAGTCCGTATTGTATACTTCTTTGGCAACCGTAGTACAGAATTGTTCCATGTTAATGAGGTTGTTGGCTAGCTTGCAGAGATTATATTTGATATAATTTTCTTTGATCTTGAGATCGATTGGCAGAGTACGGTTGATGACCAAGAGGGCCTCCGTTGGTGCAGTCTTATAAGATTTAGCTATGTTAATTGCTAGTAGCNATCTACAACGAAGTCTGATAAACTGGCTTCGTATGGATCGCCTTGACATAACGAAATTTTCTCTTCGTATATAGCTGCATCTCGTCCTGTTAGACTACTAGAATAGCCCGCAAGAAAAGAATCTTTTTTAGCTTTATCCATGATGATAAAACTGCAGTATTTTTGTACGTTTAAATTAAACAAATGCGTCGAACAACAGACCAAGTGCAAGCTAAGCATGCGAAAGCTACCACAAAAATAACGAAGGGGCGGAGCAAACGTGTGTTTCATCACGTGACATGCGACCTTGAAACCTCTCTATACTACATTTATCCTACGATAGATGGTGCGCGTGTATACGAGCATTTCATCGTGAGCATTTCAGCACGGTTAGGAGTTGAAACTTGGAATTTGGTACACAGTTAAGCCGGAAGCACACATGTGGCGCGGCAAAGAAAAGCGGTGTCGCAATCGCATTTTCGCCGTCGGCGGCAATCCGCTTACATTTCGGCGCATGCGTTCACTATTCAAGATGGCGAACGATACCGATATTGTCGCTATTTACGTGTTTACAAATTTTTCGGAGTGTGGGAGACGTCGACATCGACGCTCAAGCCGGTATATACCGATCGAATAGTATTCCTCCGAACTTTGACACTCTCCCTTGTAATTCCAGTCTGTTATTTTTCTGACAAAACATGTATTCGCGATACTGTCGGGTAGGCACTCGTTAAGTTTTGCATCTGCTTTTCTTTTCGAAAGGTGAGAGTATAATAGCAAAGGTAGAGAGTGGGCAGAAGATGCCTAATGTTGCTGGGCAATATGGCATGAACAGGTCTACAGTAGGCCGCAGTTTAATCTTATTTAAGAAAAATACTGTATAATGAAGAAGACTTAAGTGGCTAAAGGAGTAACAAAAATCACATTTGAGAAATAAAGAACATCGAAGAGTTCCTAATGGAACCTGAAACGGATCTGACGACAGAAGAACGCCAAGAACTCTTGAATGAAGAACATCAAGAAACTCGGCGAGATATGTTTTCTTCTGAAAAAGAGGATTAATGCCGATATCTGTTATTTAAGATCTTTTGAAGAAGTGGGAGGATGTCAGAACAACAGTGTTTGAATGGCATTCAAACCAGGTTGAGGTTAATAGGCTTAGGGATCTCTATAATTACAATGCTATTAATTACTTTTGAAAAATCCTAAAGAAGAGAGAAAAGCAATCGTCAATTGACAGATTCTTTAACTTTTTCAAACGGAAAAAACAAGACTAATAAAAATGCAAGACTGTGTATGTATGTATTTTTATTATTACATATAAATACACGTAGTAAGAAAGTACCAGTATATATTATTTTATTTTTGGAGTCTCCAGAACGAATTAATTAAATTCCCATTAAAACCTATAGTAAATCGATAATCGGTTAACGAACAATTCGGATAGCGAACAAAGTCTTGGAACGGTTTATGTTTGTTAACCGATCACTCACTGTATTATAATAAGTTACAACATACCATGACTTTCGGGATTTCTTATAGGTAGTGTTGACACGTATACATTCCGTTTAAAATTACTTATTTACAGTTAAAATTGTTTTACTGTTAAAATACAATTATAGTTTAAAATATATTTACAATTAAAAGTACTATTACATTTAAAGTTTCTTGACTTAACGTCAAACATTTTCTAGCACAGGGATGGCCAACCTTTTCAGAAGGCGGGCCAAATTTAAGAAATAATATTTCCTTCCGGGCCACGCACCTAATTTTTTTTTTAGTTAATTTAAAGTAAACAAGCAAGCATGCTACAGCTTGCTTGTTTACTTCCGAGTAGGTGAGATCGTGGTCAAGCACTTGCCTGGTTTAATGTAAAAAAAAAACACAAAAAATAGGTATATTTATTTTTTTAAAGAAAATAAAACATAACCGAGAATCAAACATATTTATTAGACAATTTAAAAATATTGAAAAGTGAGACATCTGNTTTACAGTTAAAATTGTTTTACTGTTAAAATACAATTATAGTTTAAAATATATTTACAATTAAAAGTACTATTACATTTAAAGTTTCTTGACTTAACGTCAAACATTTTCTAGCACAGGGATGGCCAACCTTTTCAGAAGGCGGGCCAAATTTAAGAAATAATATTTCCTTCCGGGCCACGCACCTAATTTTTTTTTTAGTTAATTTAAAGTAAACAAGCAAGCATGCTACAGCTTGCTTGTTTACTTCCGAGTAGGTGAGATCGTGGTCAAGCACTTGCCTGGTTTAATGTAAAAAAAACACACAAAGTAGGTATATTTATTTTTTGAAGAAAATAAAACATAACTGAGAATCAAACATATTTATTAGACAATTTAAAAATATTTAAAAGTGAGACATCTGACTTTGTTTTACAGAACTAAGTGCATCAAAATTGATCTCCACTGATGTTGTCGCTACACGCAAACAGTTTTCCAAATGAACATCAGTAATTCGATCTCACTTGTGATTTGATGTAGCCTACTTCATGCGACTAAAAAGCTGTTCACAGGCATAAATGTTTCCACATAGCGAAACCATCGACAGAGCATGTTTGTAAAAAGCAGGATATTTATCCTTGTCCAGATACGTTTCATAGAACTCTTCCAAACAAACTTGATGGAATTTCTCCAACGTTTCAAGGTTTACTTACTTACAGAATCGATATGGTAGAAAGGCTACTTGGTTAAAGTAGTTTGAACTGTAATTATAAATATGTTAAATATTGAACAGAAACGTACTCGGCAAAATAATTAATCAAGTAACGAACACCTTATTCTTTGCCAAGGGAGTTTATTAAAAACTAACATTTTCGATCTACTCCATAGATCATCCTCAGGTTGAAACATTCGAATTTGGAATAACAAAAATAGAACGCCAAATTCAAATTAAAAGAGATAAAACCGACATCGTAGCAACTAATTAAAATAAAAATTATAGCGTAAAAATACAAAAATTTAAAAATAAATAACATAAACTACTAAATAATATTATAAGCTACTATTTGTTAACCAATAAAAATTATTAAAGTTTCCATATCGCGATTGCGGATATGGCACAATTCAAGAGCTACTTGTAAGTTTTTTAAGTTTTTGAACGGCGTACTTCCATGCTGAGGGTAGGCCCTCCGCATCTCTGGCGTTTATGCATTTTTCATCTAACTTGCTCTTATATATTTCCATCTTTTCGGCAGTTTTCGCTAAAGATATAGCTCTGATGGATGAGGAAGTGGGAGCAGTATTAGATTACGAGAGTTTATACCCTTCAATTAAAATTGAGTCTTGTTTGAAAATGTTAATGGCGTTCTTGTTTAAAGAAAACTCAGAGTTGATACACCACAGGAACGAAGTTTTAGAGATGGCTAATCTTGTATGCTGTGAATCCTTCTTTGGCTTTGAAGGCCAAACGTACAAACAAAACAGGGGAGTTCCTATGGGAAGCCCAATATCGGGTCTTCTATTCGAATTGGTGGTAAAAAAAATAGAGGAAAAGGTTGTGCATAGCTTCAGAAATGATATTGTTTACTTCAAGAAATATGTGGACGATATCTTTATACTATGGAAAAGTAATCGAGGAATCAGTAATTTTATTGAAAGAATCAACGATAACAAAGACGACCTAAACCTGAAGCTAGAGCAGAAAAGTTCTGTAATGATACATTTCTTGGATATCAATATCACCTTTAAGAAAGGGCATTTATCTACTAATGTGTATACCAAACCAACGCATAGCCCACTCTACATTCCTGCGCAGTCCAGTGATCCATTTCGTTATAAATTAGCAGCTTTTCGTGCCTTAGTTAGAAGGGCTTTTCTATATTGCGATAACATTATGTACAGAAATAAAGAAATGAAAAGGATTATGCAGATAGCAGAAACCTTGGGTTACAGAAGAAACATAATCACTGGCATTATTAGAAAATTCGAGATAGGCGATACAGGAGCCTCTAAACAAGGGCCTAGTAAATACACAAAGTATACATTCAACAAAAATGTAAGAACTGTCATGAAGGAGATTGCGGACAATAAAGGATCAACGTTGATCGTAAAACGAGCTCCGAATCCGTACAAGATCCTAAGAAATGATAAAGGGGATATTAAGAAAGAAGATAAAGCAGGAGTGTATAGGATCCCGTACGAGAACCAGCAGTTAGGAATAGAAAAGGAGTACATAGGAGTTACAACGAGAAACCTAGGAATAAGGGTCAAAAAGCATAAATATGATATTAGAAAAAGATCTAACACAACGGTTCTGGCCCAAATGGCTCAGGCCGATGGATCCGTAGTTAGGTGGGAGGATGCGGAAATCATCAGAGAAGTGCACTCCCCAATTTTACCGAAAACTGCCGAAAAGATGGAAATATATAGGAGCAAGTTAGATGAAAAATGCATAAACGCCAGAGATGCGGAGGGCCTACCCTCAGCATGGAAGTATGCCGTTAAAAAACTTACAAGTAGCTCTTGAATTGCTCCATATCCGCAATCGCGATATGGAAACCTTAATGATTTTTATCGGTTAACAAATAGTGGCTTATAATATTATTTAATAGTTTATGTTATTTATTTTTAAATTTTTGTATTTTTACGCTATAATTTTTATTTTAATTAGTTGCTTCGTTGTCGGTTTTATCTCTTTTAATTTGAATTTGGCGTTCTATTTTTGTTATTCCAAATTCGAATGTTTCAACCTGAGGATGATCTATGGAGTAGATCGATAACGTTAGTTTTTAATAAACTCCCTTGGCAAAGAATAAGGTGTTCGTTACTTGATTATGTTAAATATGTAATTTTATCGTCGATTGCAAAATCTTTCCAGATGCATTGGCGACAATAAAACGAAACTACAGAATAACACGTAACTTTGTCAAGCTGGACTGAAAGTAGTTATGAATATGAGCCCGACAGCATTGTGAGCTTCCCGAAAACGCCGAAGACCACAGAACATTTAGCCTATAGCTGAAGTTGAAGTCTCATATTAAATTTTATCAACACTTAGCGTCGGACAAAAAACTAAGTAACCTTGAGTGTCAAATAGCAGGATATTTGAAATAGCTAAAAAATCTATGAATTTTTCAAAAAATGAAAGATATTTCGAATTTCTCTTAGCTATATAGCCATGTATCATGTTATCGTATCATGTATTTTTAAATACATGATACGATAACATGATACATGGCTCCATAATATTATCAGTTTTTCTTTTAAATAAAAAGTTCAGAAAAACACTTATAAAAATTCAGAAAACAGAAATCTACTAGCCCACAAAAAATTATTTAAATGTAAGGCCCGGATGAAATTCAAAATTTGGTATTAAAATGTTAACGAATATCCGATGGGATAGTTAAACTTTCACCTTTCGTAAATAAACCACGACGCAAAACTTAACGAGTGCCCGTCCGACAGTCTCGCAAAGACTATAAAAATTATTTGTCAGAAACGTAAACAAAAAGCTGGAATTGCAAGGGAGAGTTTCAAAATTCGGAGAAATATTATACTATCCGATCGGTATCGGGTTGAGCGTCGATGTTAACGTCTCCCGTGCTCCGAAAGGTTTCGAATTGTTACCTGAAGACAAGGGAAAATCAATCGGTATTCATTATTTTTCTGTCGCTTCTTTTTATGTTTGTTCTAGGGCTGTGGAGTCGGAGTCGAAGTCGGATGGTAAGGAAAAGTCGGAGTCGGAGTCAGAGTTGGAGTCGGTAGATTTTTACGCGACTCCACAGCCCTGGTTTGTTCAGTAAAGTGTTCGTTATCCGAACATGTGTTCGTTGTCCGATCATAAAAATCTTTGAGAAAGTGTTTGTTATCCGATTTGTTCGCTATCTGAACTGTTCGTTAACCGATCACCCACTGTACTTGTAAAGTTTCTTTCTTTTCGTTTTTCGATATCCGTCGTTTGCACGTGGTTCTTCCTTCTTGACCTTCTTTTGTTCCACGCTTGCCCTGTTGTTTTAACCGCTTCCGGTTTTGGAAGATTAACTACACCCTTACATACTATAAATTAATTTTTCTAATTATTACTATTTCTAATTACTATTATTATCATTATTATTGCTGTTGAAGATATTATTAAATTTATTATAATAATTTTAACCAATTGTCATGAATTTTAACGCTTAAAATTTTTCGGCTTTTTATTATTTCGTAACTTTCTTTAAATTTTTTTTGTACCAATTCGTTTCTATGTGTAAAATTCTCACTTCATCTTTGTTTATACAGTACAGTAATACCTCGACTTACGCGATTTTCAAATCTGGTCGATTCATCTTTTGTTTGAGCGCCACGAAACTGATGATTACTCACTTCCCCCACACTATTGTTCAGCTTACATGTTCGGACGTGTCACGCGGAATCGACACATAAATAACATAAAATAAATTGTAGCTATTTTTGTGTTTGTTATATCTACGAAGACTTGAGAAACCCTATGTGGTGATTTCTTGTAACCGTGAACAAATCAAAAGACAAGATAAGATTAACAAAAACATTTATTAGGTTACATACATCCGATTTAAATTTTACACAAATTGCGAAATTATACCCCGACTTACGCGGTTATCCCTCGGTCCTACCTATCGCGTAAGTTCGGGGTACCACTGTATTACAATTGTTTATTGTGCAATGGTCGTAAAAAACTGAATTTATCTTTCTATGTTTCAGATCGGCGATATGTTCTTTTAGACGTGTTTCTACTATTCTTTTATTATCTCCTATGTAGTTTTTTGGGTTTTTACAGGTGCATGGTATTGAGTAGACTGCATTCGTTGTGCTGTATATATCTTCTATCTTATTGCTTGGTATAGGTTTAATTTTTTTGTATTCTTTGTTGCAATTTTTCATAAGTTGGAGCAAGTTTTATATTCACTTTGTTGAGGTCTTTACTTATTTCTTCGAAGAAGCTTTTCATGTAAGGAAAAGCTTTATATTTTACGTCTGTGTTCTTGTTTTTTGATTTCATTTGCTCATTCTTATTGTTGATTTTACTTTCACATTTTTGTATTACTCTGTTTGTGTAACCGTTTAATTGAAATTCAGCTTTTAGTTCTTTGATATATTTGTTTATATTTTGCATTGTACTTGTTCTGTTTATGATTTTTTTTATATTCCACACTGAATATGATTTCCTTTATATATTGTGGAGTATTTGAATTGTAGTTTATGACTGTTTGGATTTCGCTTTGTTTTTATATGGTTTAAATTCTAGTATTTTTTTTCTTCGTTTTATCACTATATGAAGGTAGTTTATTTCTGTGTTTGTTTCGTTTTCTATATTAAATTTAATTTCATTATTTAGTTTATTTATCTTGTATTCTATTTCCTCTATTCTTACCATTGTTTGGTCGTATGAAGTAATTATGTCGTTCACATATCTTTTGTAAAATGTTATGCCTGTGATATTATTAATTTCTTCATCTATGTGTATCATGACAAGCTCTGCTAATTTCGGACCTGTAACTGATTCCATGCTAATTTCTGCTTTTTGTGTAAAAAATTTTCCGTTTGTGATGAAATAATAGAGAATTTGCGGCCGACGTTTACAACGCGAAAACGTGTACGTCGGAGGTTCAGTGCCGCCGTCCTGTGAGCCTAGAAGTTTGACAATGGCGTTCGGAACTTCAGTAGAATCGTGCTCGACGTTCTAAACGCCGTTGTCAAATTTATAGGCTCACAGGAAGGCCTATCTACGATCGGTCTTACTTCTTCACCTGGTTTGTGTGTCTTCAATTGTATGTTCACTATTGGTGTTTTGCCATTTTCATTTTCTAATAAATTATAGGCTCACAGGAAGGCTTATCTACGATAGGTCTTACTTCTTCACCTGGTTTGTGTGTCTTCAATTGTATGTTCAGTATTTGTGTTTTGCCATTTTAATTTTCTAATAAATTATACATTTTTAAAATAACTCTTATTTAAAAAATCAGCTACAGTACNTGTTTTAAAATGATAGAAAATTGAAAAAATAACAATTTAATTCTCTGGAGTGGAAAAAGTATTAAATGCTCTTCAAAATATCATTTAAAAAATTCATATTACATTTACTTAATTATTGGTTTGATGATATAGCGGAAAATTGATGCGCTATATCATGTGTTACTGAGGCAAGTACTACAGTACTGTACAGTACATAGCGCTTGCGTGGAATCGAAAGTGTTACTCTGTGAAAAGTCTATAGTAAGTCTACAAGTATGTATTTTCAACATCTAACAACTCGTGTTTTTTTCATTTCTGAACAGTACTTTCTTAGTTCTAATAAGTGTCTTCCAGTAACGGAGTTAATAAAATTATTGAACTCTGGTAGTTCATGTATCGTGGGTTTGGGCATGGCCAATAGTAACTAATTTTGCATAGCTGGGCTGGCCACATGGAGTTAGTAACCGGGAGTTTTCTGGGTTTTCTTCACGTTAGTAACACCTAGAATTCAGCTTTCCATAAAAGTCTTCTGGAGATTTATCTCCCTCGGCAGATCGCTGATATGTCTCGTTGCCCTAACCAAATAAATTAAACTAATTCTAACGAGCGATTATTTGTTGTGACATCGTAACAATGCAGGGCTACAACTTTTCGACACTATGTTCCTCAATTCTTTTAGTAGTTGTCATGCCTTCCTACATTATACTTCTCCTTTAACAATAGAGTCGTGCCGGTTATCTAACTTTATTTAGAGGGAAATTTGAGATTGAAGTAACGTGACTTACGACTTTCATTAGAATGCTTTTATTTTCCATATTATGTCTCGACTTTTAGCTATCTAACTCTTTTGTCGAGATTAAGGAAAAACAGAAAGACACACAGTGGACGACGGTCGGAATTTATAGATCTACAATTTTGCATTCCAATAATTTTTCTATAAACGCAATATTTACGACAACATACTTCCCACGTAGTTTATACAATTTGTTGTCAAAATTGAAACCTTTATTATCACATGAAAGAAATTATTTTAAATTTTTAAAAGATTTATTTTAATAAAACTGCAATTTGAAAAATTGTAGACCTATAAATTTGTTCGACAATCTGTCTTTCCTTAATCTCGAAAATGAAATCAGATAGATGAAAACATATATGGAAACCTTAGGGGCAGAAAGCCCCGATATTAACTATATATGAACTTTCGATGCAAACCGGATGTCACGTTATTTCAGTTTAAATCTTTCCCCTGAAAGCAGTTAATAGATAACCAGCAAGACTCTATTGTTAAAGGATAAGTATGATGTATTGCACAGGAGTAAGCCACTGCTAATTCGAGGTGGAGGGCATATATTTTAAATTAAAAGAATTAAAAATAAGGCTAAAAATTGCACAATAAATAATTGCTCGTTTAAACAAGTTTTATATTAAGTCTTTCGGATGTTAAGGTTAGCAACTTCGATCAAATGCGAAGCCATTAAAATCTGTTTAACACGGATCACTTTTCAAGTAGACCAGTATTAATTAATAAGCCTAGTAGGAAGGTATTTTTGTTGAGCCACAAATTCGAAAACTTGTAAAGGATCCCAGTTTAACCAAGTTTTGGAGGGAAAAGAAAAGGAAGCTTGGGAAGCCATAGAGGGAGTTATTCGTGGATTCTTATGCAAGAAAAGAGATAATAACCACACTCGGTTAGTGACAATACTTCTGGAGAAATATCATCAGCTCAAATGCAACATGCCCCTCAAAATCCATTTTCTCGATTCACACCTAGACTTTTTCCTTCCTTGTTGTGGAGCTGTCAGTGATGAACATGGAGAAAGATTCCACCAAGATATTTCTGTATTGGAACAAAGATATCAAGGCCATTGTAATGAAGAAATGATTGCGGATTACTGCTAATCTGTGTGTAGGGATGCACCAGAACTCACTTACAAGAGGCAAGCCAGAAGAAAATGATCTCATGAAGTCACCACATAATTCTCTTCACACCGTAACACCTGCCAGGTATTCTTTAATTAATTTAGAACTCTTAAAGTTGCTGTAATTTAAAAAAATTCAAAAGCACTTTCAATGTTGTTAGCATATGTAATTAAAATGTATCGATTTCTCTTATGCTGTTAAAATCACCTATTGTATACCACAGAAACTACAGCTAATAAAAATTTTTCTTTGTTATATTCAATTTTCTCACCCCAAAATTAGTAAGATTTAACTCATGAAATAAAGGAGTCATTCAAAACCATTTTTATTGTTGTCCAGTGTAATCGGCTGTGAGTGAAACAGTTTCTTATAGTTAACATTAGGAAAAAATATATCTTCAATTTTCTAAGATATCGTGTTTTCAATTGGTGTTTAATTGACCAAAATTTTTATATGGTTTTTGTTTTAATGTTTTATATATTATAGCATTTGATTTATATAACTACAAAGGTTATTTTACGTAACGGTTTATCGCACCGAGTGAACAATCTAAAACATTTTAAATTAAAAATTGTTGGAATAATTGGTTCATCAATACGATATAATAACTAAAAAAAACTGTATACTGCATCAAAACTGTACCAAGTGGGTACTAAACATGTCCATTCCCGTGTGTGTGATTCATTTGGTTGAGCAAGTCACGTCGAAGCGAAAATAAAACTGATTGTAATTTTTTAGTAGCTGCGATTATTTAGTCGCACTTGTATTAGAAACAATAAGTTTAATTTTTGCGACTGAAAAATCGCAAGTGGAGACCTAGCCTTATGTAAGATAATTTTTATAATTATATAGGCCTAAATCAAATATTATAATATAATATAATAGAAGGGTTGGAAGTACGAAATAATCTTAATGTTTGTTTTTATATTTTGCCCGAGAAACGTCGGCCTCATCTGCTTGTTATTAATAAGCCAGTATAGGCCTAGATAATTGTTAATTTCTTCTTACTAAATGGCATATAAATAATTTCTAAGCGCGAAATAAAATATAAAATAACAAAACTTACAAAAGTTATACTTTTAATACATCAGTAACACTAGTTACAACATATTATAAGTAGCCGAACATTGCCTTATAAAAAACAATGAAAGTGACTTTTTATTCCACGTTTGCAGATGTTGAAGGATTATCCTGATCGTTTTTGGATTCAGAGATTAAATTTTGACGTTTTTGTTTCAATTTCAGTAAGTTATTATATTTTCGTTTCAGGTATTCGACGTTATATTTCAGTTCTAATCTTTGGAGCGCGCGTTGGAGTTTATCACATAAATCCTTCGGCATAGTTGAAAATAATGTCAAAAGTGATAATAGAAGCACATTTTTGAAGGGAGGATTCGTTTTCTCCTGTTTCTCTTCTATATAATCCGAATATTTTATATAATCCAAATCCGAGGGTGAAAACTCGGCCCAGTAAGCATCACAGTTTCTTATAAGTTCGTCGAAATCGAACCCGCCTTCTCTGAGTATTAGGGTTGAACATCGAGGAGGAGGTAATTCTGGTTCAATTTGACTAAACAGATGTAATTTTCCTTCTGACTGAATTATTGAAGCGTCCCCTGAAAAGCAAATACTCCACTTTAATTGTTGAGAATTGTTTCATATTATAATTTATATTGTTATTATATTATTAATTTCGTAATAAATGTCTAGCTATTGTTATATTTTATTCTACTTTTGTCTAAAAGAAAATTTGAAGTATGAATAAAATATAATTGATTGTGTTCGTTTTTTTAAGAGAGGGAAAGAATGCGATCGATCGATTAAAATAAAATCTGGTAACAGATGGCGCACACTCAATTTTAATTTTTTGCTGGGAAAGCTATGTAACTATTGATAGTTGCTAGTTTTTTGTTCCTTCCAAAAACTAGGTTTTTGAAATTTACGAGTTATTGATACTAGACCATCGGTGTTATTAATGTCCATTTTAAATATGGCTAAGGAAATTACTGTATATTTTAAGTTCATCGTTAACTGTGTACAGTACATAGGCTTTAAACAAAGGCATATGTCAGGACAATTATCTTTGTTTCTTCTGCCACTCGTACGCACATGAACTTACATGTAAGAGATATGTATATATGTGTACAACACAGATTATACTGTACTTAAAAGCATTTTAGCTGAAGTAGTATAGAAACTATTACACGTTCGTCTCGCTAATCCTATTTCCGTTTAAGTGAAACCAACTCTGTGTTTATTCTAATGTCTCAATCAAAAATGTGGTTCGAACATTTAGTATGACCGAAAATCATACATTAATTATATAAAGGTATACACCTAAATATAAAAAATACATCGTTCGAACTCTGGAACCAGTGCCGTAACTAGGCAGGTGCAGCAGGTGCGCACAGGGCCCACTTGTAAGGGGAGCTCAAAATACTTGTATTTGTTTTATTATTTTCCCAAACCTAATTAATTAAGAAGCCTAATTGCAAATTCATGCACAGGACACAGAAATGGCTAGTTACGGCTCTGTCTGGAACGTTCGAAGTACGAAGTACTGTACTGTATTTGTCGTTAGTTTTTCCGATTTTTTTTGCTTTATATATAACTTCTAATTTAAACTGAAATTGTAAAATAGATGATTTTTTCACACAGCATTGCAATACCTCCCCTGTATTTCTGTGTAGCGAAAGTAAAAGATATTGAGTATGATAAGAAAAGATAAGACAGAGATAAGAAGTAAATCACAACCGGAAAATCATTATCATTAATTGCAGTAAATATCGATAAACTGATTGATAGAAAATGTCACTAGTACACTATAACTAAAGAAATTATTAACAAAGAGAAAACGTCGTACAAAGACATATAACAGGAAGAATTATAAAATTAAATTCTGCTTATTGAAAATGTTTAATAGAAGCGTTGCGCAATATCAATGTTAATAAATAATTTTTTGCATTTTATGCTGTTAGAGTTTTTCTACCAACGTCTCAACTAGTTTCTATTCAAAAGGTTGGCATGTATGTATTGTGACTTACACAATAAAAAGAAATAACGAAAACGAGAACTAAATTAAAATAAGAATTAAATCGATCATCAACGAATTGATATAACTAGAATTAAGTGAACGAAAGATCGATCGAGCCAAGTAAAGTACACATGGTGATCGATCGTTCGATCACTGGTATACGAACAAGTTTTGTACAGAATAAATTATTTGATACTTTTACTTACAACTTTCATCATCGTCACTTGATAACATCGATTGTTCTGTAAGGAATGTGGTATCAATTTCTTCAGTCATCATTTCGGCGATTTTTCGATCTTTAGTTTTTTCCTTTCTCTTCTATTGTGATTTTGACCAGAAATGGTAGTGCTTCCTCTATTTAAAGCAATTGGTTAGTACTAACGTCACTGGTAAAGATGCGTCAAAGAATGACACATTGCTTATCTTAGATTACAGAACGCTGGTTTTGGGGGCTACAGTTTGAATAGCATCTTTCTTTTGTTTGATGACCTTTTAGAAAGGTAAGAAGTCACTAGAAAGAAAATGTGATGTATAAATTTCATGATTGATGTTGCGAAGTGACGAATATTTATCATTTAGTCACACATTTAAGCAAACATTCATCCGATTTTCATAGCGAAGTGACTTATTTAAGTGACTAATGTGAACTTTTAAAAGTGAGATTCGAATAACAATTGCTTCCTTTGTCTCCTCAAAAATGCATTTGTTAAAATTGTATTTTTAAAAAAATTTAGCAATGAGTCGCGTAACTTTTCCGGCAACAGTTAAAACTGTGTGTGGCGCCGTCTGTTACGATATTTTGCTTAAAATCTTTTTATATTATTAATTATTTTAAAATGACAAAAAGCTTAATTTCGAGGGTAGCGACGAGTTTTATTATTTCTGTTCTTTTTAATTTTCCAATGCTAATAACGAGTAAAATCTTCGTCAAGTCCGATTCCACTCGAGATACACACACGACTCTATCTTTCCAAGCCCTTCGAACTTTAACTACCAAAATTTAACAGCATCGATCCCTCTAATATATACAAATCTCTCTGCAAAATTGCAGAAATTGTCGACAAAAAACACGAGAGTTATTAAGCTTCAAAGCGGCATCAAATATACAGAAATAAACCCCATTATTTGGCATTTCTCGACGTTTCGAGGTGCTCCGAGTCTAAAAATGTAAAAATTTTGAAGGGTTATTTTGTGATCGTTCGCCATACTTTTTCTGTTACATTCACTGAATTGATAAAACTGCTTGTATTGTAGAGTACGTACACTACAGTACACTTCGTTTAGTAAACAATAGAAGAAATCCATACGTTGACATTTCTTTATATAAGAGCAAATGGTCAAATTACACTTTAAGTTAAAAATATTTTAATATGATATTAAAAGCATTCTAGGTAATGATGTTTACCATAACAGATATAATTTTGTACTGTATGTCATTATCACACCGGAAATGAAACTCCCTTCCTTCAATTTAAATATAACAAACGGAATAAATCGGTTGTGTNTTTAGTAAACAATAAAAGAAGTCCATACGTTGACACTTCTTTATATAAGAGCAAATGGTCAAATTACACTTTAAGTTAAAAATATTTTAATATGATATTAAAAGCATTTTAGGTAATGATGTTTACCATAGCAGATGTAATTTTGTACTGTATGTCATTATCACACCGAAAATGAAACTCCCTTCCTTCAATTTAAATATAACAAACAAAATAAATCGGTTGTGTATAAAATTAAATCGTTAATACGGCATTTCTTCTCTTTTCTGCCTACAAAACTTGTAATTTTGGCAATTTGACGTCATTAAAGCCCTTTCGAGTTAATTCTTTTTAAACTTTTGTACGAAAGGAAAAATCGTCTCTTCGTCCAAATGCCTCCTTGATAGACAGATCCGGTGTTTAGAGGACTCAGAAGGACCTTGTGCTCGATTAATGCTTGACCCGTAATACACTTAGATTTTTAGTACATTTTGAATACATTATAATATTTCAGTACCATTTATGGTACAAAATAATATTTCATGCCTTAACGAAAAAATGCGAAAAAATTAGTTTAATAAAGTCTCACTAGTGTCACTGCTTGCTAATTTGATTTACCCAATCACAACATACACATGGTGTATGTCGGTCGACATCGACAACATACAGATAGTTGCACGTGCAAATGTTATGACTCCGTGGTCTTCTTTCAGACGTGTCACATTCTCACGAGGACCTTGACAAAATTTTTCACGCCACGTGATCCAAACAATTCAACTCTGTCAAACAAAAATATTGGACAGATAAGGAAATCAATGATTTTAAACTTTTGACATCAATAATATCAAAATATTTGTTAAGTCAGAGTCGAATTATTACACAAAATAGTTTTGAAATTGTACAGTACAAATAATATAAATATTTTTATATTATATTCTAACACTATAATTTAATTCTTAAAATTATGAACTTCAATTTTAGTAATCTTGGTAAAAGAAATAACTTTATTTAAATTTGAATCTGTTCACGCATATTTAATTTATAATTTTTTTTAAATCCATCAATATAATATTTAAAAAAATCAACTTTTAATGCTGTATTTAACAAAAAACCATAGAAACTACTTTCATAAAATCTTTTTATGAAATATTTAATTTTAAAGTATTCATATTTAACAAAGTATTCATGAATATGAATTTGAAATAAGCACAAAAATTGAGTATGATGGTATATTAATNTTTTTTTTAATTTGAATCTGTGCACGCATATTTAATTTATAATTTTTTTTATCCATTACTATAATATTTTTAAAAAATCAACTTTTAATGCTGTATTTAAGAAAAAACAATAGAAACTATTTTCATAAAATCTTTTTATGAAATATTTAATTCTAAAGTATTCATATTTAACAAAGTATTCATGAATATGAATTTGAAATGAGCACAAAAATTGTGTATGAAGGTATATTAATATTAAAAGTAACCAACCATAGAAATAGTATATTTTGAAGGAAAATAGTACATTTTTTGAAGGAGCTTCAATATGTTTTGAAATTTAATTGTGGCAACGCTGCTCTCCACATATTTTTCTTTTCATAAAGAAAAATTCCAGCAATGAGTTGCTTAACTTTCCTAGCAATATTTGGTGGTGCCATCTGTTATGATATTTTATTTTAAAATCTTTTTATATTTTTAACTATTATAAAATGGCAAAAAGCGTAATTTTGAGGGTAGGGATGGGTCTTAAAAATTCGTAAATGCTAATAACGAATAAAATCGTCATTAAGTCCGACCCTACTAGAGACTCTCTTTATCTCCTTGCCTCTTGACGAGCCTAAGTAAGACCAGTGAAGAGCCCGAAAAGTTTACATGGACTAAAAGATTTCGCAGAAAGTTACAAAATTAATATGCAAGGTTCGTTGGTTTTTGACGAGGAAATTATTAAAAATTGGGTATTTTGAGCAAGTAGGAAGTCGTTTTATAAGGACAGAAGGTTATATTATTTTCTCCTACTTCATCATTTTATAACAAACTAATTCGCTTGATTAAACTCTTTGTTCAACGAATTGTAGAGTAGGTTAAGTCTACATCAGTGATTCCCAAACTTTTTGAGCCACCGCCCGCTTGGTTCCTTATATGAAACTTTCTCAACTGTACCACTAACTTGCTTTCCCTTGTGTAAGAAAGGCTTGGAATTATTCCCAGAAAAACTTTTCTATAAACCTCACACTTTGTGTTTTTTCTACATTGTTCTCCACATCTAGAAACTATTAAACGCAATGTTTCTTCTTACCTCTTTTAACAAAGGAAAAGGAAAGGTTGTCAGTGACCCAACCCTCGCCTATGGTATGGTTGTCAGTGACCCAACCCTCTTGAGTACCCTTCCCCTGTCACCCACTTGCTTCTTTTTGCCTTCCTAGAATTACTCACCGGCACAGAGGGCGGTAGCGCTCATTTTGGGAACCACTGGTCTAAACTCAAAAGTTAAACTTATTTCGGCAGTAGCGTATCTAATTAATACCGTAAATAAGCCGAATAATTAACAATTCTTATTAATTCGAAAAAGTATTACGGGGATTATTTGACTTTTTTACTTTTCCGGCTGTAATAAAAGGGAAAGTATGGTGATCCGGCACAAAATGACTTCCCCGGATTTTTACATTTTTTGGACTTAGGACACCTTGAAACGTCGAGAAATGCAAAATAATTCGGGGGTAATTTCTGTATGTATGAATGCTAATGCGTGTATGTTTGTGTGTGCACGATTTTGTTAACCCTCTTTGAAGCTTAATAACTCTCGTGCTTTTTGTCGAAAATTTCTGATAGTTTGCAGGGAGGTACTGTACTGTACGTTTGTTAGGAGGATTGGTGCAGATATCTCTGTCTGAAAAGTAATTACATAATTACTTTAATGTGTTCCATCTATTACGACTTTTAACGATAATGTTAAACATAATTTAAGTGATGGTACGTTGGCGAGTCAAATCTCAAATTGTATAAAATTCTTTTAAACAACTAAGGATAATTGGTATTGTTCTGAGTAGCTAATTTTGTAGTTGAATATAAAATTATTTTAACTATTTTTTCTTATTTATTTAAGCATTTCTAATAATAAAATATTACACAAGATTTATTTTATAATATTTTAAAATTATTTTAAGTAAATGTTTAATAGCAAATTAGCAGAGTCACTTATAAATTAATAAAAGATATAGCCTAAAGGATGTAAGCCAGGGGTGTCCAACCTTTTTGTTTCTCTGGGCCGCAATGGAAGAAGTCAAGAAGATTTGGGCCACAAGTTTATATAATATATACGTGTGGC